CTTTCAGTCCAGGAATTCCTGTTCTCTCCTTTTCCTAATCTTTCTAAGGTATACATAGCTATTCGTATTCGTCTATCCTCTGGTTACCTCTGCCTTCCATTTTTGTTTCAAATCAAGATTTTTTAATTGCAATTCACAGTTCCCAGGCCTATTGTTCATTTAGTCATCTACCTTTCTCACCGGTTACTTTTTTTTTAATAAATTTATTTATTTGTTTTTATTTTTGGCTGTGTTGGGCTTTCGTTGCTATGCGCAGGCTTTCTCCAGTTGCGGTGTGCGGGCGTCTCATTGCGATGGCTTCTCTTGTTGTGGAGCACGGGCTCCAGGCGCGCAGGCTTCAGTAGTTGCAGCATGCAGGCTCAGTTGTTGTGGCTCGTGGGCTCTCTAGAGTGCAGGCTCAGTAGTTGTGGCACACGGGCTTAGTTGCTCTGTGGCATGTAGGATCTTCCCGGACCCGGGCTTGATTCCATGTCCCCTGCATTGGCAGGCAGATTCATAACCACTGCACCACCAGGGAAGCTCTCACCGGTTACTTTTTTCCTAATACTTTATTATAGAAAATTTCAAACATACAAAGAAGTTAAGGGAACTCCCTTGCTGTCCAGTGGGTTAGGAATCTGCACTTTTACTGCAGGGGTCCAGGTTCGATCCTGGTCCGGGAACTAAGATCTTGCAAGCCTTACAGCATGGCCAAAAAAAAAAAAAAACGTTGACAGAGGTCTGTGAACACTCACGTACCTACCACCTAGATTCTACTATTAATATTTTATTATACTTTGTCACCTATATATTCCTTTATCCATTCTTCTATCTATCCATTATTCTGTCTTTTTTTGTTTTTGTTTTTGGATGCATTTCAAAATAAGTAGCAGTTATAAGTACACTTCAACCCTAAATATTTCAACATGTGCATCATTGACTAGAGTTCAATATTTGTTTAGAGGACTTTTTCTTTTGAGGTGGAATTTATATAGAATGATGTGCACAGATCTTAAGTGTACCATTTAATGACCTCTGTCTTTCCTTCTAAGTCAATTGTATTCTAATAAGAGGACTAACACTAACTAAGAGCATTATGAGGCCATACTAGCAAAACTTGTGCATTCATTTGGATTTTCCAGAAAAGACTATGAATACCACAGAGTACCTTAAAACTTGCTTCTTATTTTAGTTTTTATTATGTAAATGTGCTACAGTATAATGATTATAGTTAAAAGTGTTTTTATTTTTTCCATATTGTTCCATGCTTCACCAAGAATTCTTAGTATGGCCAATGATATCACATGATGCATGCTGGAATAAATAACTTGAGGATACTTTTATTTAGTTAAAAATATGAAATTTTAAAGAAAGGCTAGGATGGCCCTTTTGTCAGCTTCATAAGCTAAATATGTAAAAGAGCTAGTTAATTCAAGGCACTTTGAACATTTCTGGAGTGCTTTGTGGTCTTTTAAGTGCTTGCATTTATCTTAACTCATTTGAGCCTCACATTAGCCATGTTAGGTAGTTGGGACAGTTGTTATTTCTGCTGTCTGGATGAAGAAAGCAAGGCATAGGCAGTGGGAAGGACAAAGCAGCAGTTGGTCATACAACCAATTGAACTCAGATCCTCTCGCTTTAGATCTTGTCCAACGGCAACAACTACAATCACACTAATTCTTTAGTTCAGGTGCTATTCTGGATCCTTGGATTTGCTTATGAATAACTAACAAATGTCTTATTGTACAAACTAGGGTCAACTATAATACCAATACTGACGCGAAGACCTATGCCAATGTTTTGAATTCTCTATGATGAAATATTTAGATATAAGGCAACCGCAACCATCAGGATCCAGACAGAACTATCTAAGTGTGCTATATTTAGAGTATAGCACACTGATATTCTGTTCTCACAAGAGTGAACAATATCATGATTGAAATGCCACTTAATGTGGCAAAATGCCTATTTTTCAGAAACGTATTACATGAGAAGCTTATTGGAGAAGAGAAAGCCTAATTGATATACCTGTTTTGGAAGGTTTATATTCCACAACATCCTTTCTTTCCTTTAGGTAGACAAATACTTAATGACAAAACCATCTGGAGAAAATCAGCTTGACGTTGGGTAAAGGACTTAACAAAAACCAGTCAGTTTTGTTCTTGTCAGTGAATGTAAAGGTTTAGCTCTTGGTTTAGTTGATAGCACTAAGGAAAAGCTGGAAGAAATTAACATGGCTCCCGATGAAGAGTGTTCTTGAGAAAACCTTCTTGGAATAGAAACTTACTGAAAGTCCTTTAGAATCAGAAACCGGAACTAATTTATTCGAGGTCACCTTTGAGTCTTGTACCTTTAATTTTGGTATTTTGTTGAAAAGTAGTTTTCTATCGACTGTGCCAGAAATCTTATTTCTTTTAAGGTTTCCCCCATCGCTGGTGTAGAATGTTCTGGGGTTGTTAGAAGATAGTTGCATAGGAGCTGAAAACCAGATTTTTCTGGTATTAGTAAGTGTGTCTGCTTACAGAATACAAATATAATTTTTTTCAAAAGCACTAGATTGTTTTTTGAAATAGGTAATGGTCGATCTGCCTCATGTGCAAATGAAAAAGGTGACAGGACCTGGCCAGTCATGCACGTAAACACCTGGGTACCCTTGTAGATAGGACACGAAGGATAAGGAAGACAGGGAAGTTCCCATTTCCTGCTCATTAGCCTGTGCCTCTGTCCCTTTCACTGTTATCTTTCTCTCAGGGTGGGTTAGCCTGGAGCTTGTTGAAACAGTTTTGTTTTTTAGGCGTTTTTAAGAAAAGATAATTCTTTATATAAATCTGCGTGCTAGGAATATCCTGGCAGCTCTAAGGTCTAAGACAGTGTTGGTTGAGAAAGATGGAAATTGGATTACAGGGAAAGAGGAGAAAGAAATCCTACATTCAAAAGAGCACCACCAGCAGTGGCTTCAGATTGCATGTCTCAGCTGTTTAGTATATTGAGCCTAATTTGGGTGTGATCCACTTTGGAGCCAGTTTATTCTTTGATATGAATGTTTTTATTTTTAAATGCATCTCTTTTTTCCTTTTTCTTTAAAATGCTATTGAAATTTTAAAGAATCAAGAAGAAAAAAATGCGTCCATAATCTCGTCCTTGTAACAAAACTGCTGTTAAGCTTTTGCTACACTTACAGCCAAATCTTTCTTCTGTAATTATTTTTGTGTGTCTGGAATTAGAAAATGGCTGTTTTGGTGAAATGCCTGCTTCTGTGAAATGTCTTTTAGTGAGTCCTTGGAAAGTTGGCTGAAGGACAAATACTGGATGATATCACAGCACATCAGCTAAATTGTCACTCCAGTCTGAAAAGGAACTTTGTGTTGCATGCTGCATTTTTCTCAGTGGGTGACTAATATTTGTAGAGCATTACTATTAAATAAGTGAATGATTTTTAAAATGATGCTGATGATGAGGATGATGGGAGACTTCTGAAAAAAGTCCTCTGTGCTTTCCAGAAATTGTCTTGATTTCTGGCTAGAAGTTATCCGCTGCTGCTTTCACATATACATTCTTTTTTTTTCTTCCGTTTCCACTTAAATGAATCCTTTTCTTATATCAGATATATTTCCTATGGCAGAATAATAAACTGTCTTCAGTCTTCATTCTGATTGACAGATATACAAGTCAGCTATGTGGGAATAAAAATGGTGTCAGCTAAGATGGGAATGGCCTGAATTTTCATTGGAGAGAACTTTCTTGGAAGAATGAAGTGGTTCTGTTTTATTTTGCTTGAATCAAGTAAATTACAATACATAAAAGTCACTTGTACTTTTCATATAGTTCATACTATTAGGATAAACTTACTTGAGATTTTCTTTGTGACTCACTGTGTAATGAAATTTCGCCAGTCTATTTTGATAAAGCTAGGGAAAAAAATTAAGTTAATGGATATTTCACTAAATGAGAAGGAGGTCGTATAAATTGGGATGCATTCTCAGGAGTTTTTTTTTTTTTTTTTTTTTTTTTTTTTGGTACGCGGGCCTCTCACTGTTGTGGCCTCTCCCGTTGCGGAGCACAGGCTCCGGACGCGCAGGCTCAGCGGCCATGGCTCACGGGCCCAGCCGCTCCGCGGCATGTGGGATCCTCCCAGACCGGGGCACGAACCCGTGTCCCCTGCATCGGCAGGCAGATTCTCAACCACTGCGCCACCAGGGAAGCCCCTCTCAGGAGTATTTTTAATTTCATATACCATGTGTTAGAAAGCTTAGTAGATGGTCTTTATCATCCTTGTTATTTAATCCTGGCAGATGAATTTTTCTTCTCTCTTTTGTAAAAATACATCTATCTTATAATAATAACAATAAAAATAGACCCATAGATATATTCTTAGTTGTTGGCCTGTGTCATCACTGTTTTGTTCATCAGAGTATCTTTGGCACCTCCCATAGTACCTACCTGGCAATAGCAGGCACTCAGAATTTGTTGCATAGAGGGTGTTGGTTATTGCTAATTGCAGAGTAATAAACCTTCATTTGTTTTTTATTTTTTGTGTTTTTTTTGATGTGGTAATGGTTTAAGTGGAATTGTTTCTTGAATTACATTAAAAGCCAACTTACCCTTGTAGCTTTAAGGCTCTATATTAAAATTTCTTGAATATGTGCTCTCAAAGTTTTAGGCTGAACGACTTTTCTGAAATGTTTTTGACTTTCAAATGGAAATAGATTTTAGAAATAGCTGTAGTAACTTTAACCTGTTAAGTAGAATTACTGCTCTTTGCAGTTTTCTGAGGCTAATATGGTAATACATTCTGTGTTTAGCATGGTAAAAAGAGTTAGGAGGTTTAGTAATTAGTGTAAATTTAAATATTCTAAAATTTATTGAAATAAATTGATAGTGGAGGACAAAGTGTTTGGTGACTAATTTCTTTAATTTATACATAAATATATAAATATTATTTCTCTTCGTTAAAAGTGTAAATGAGCATTAAAAGTGCATAAAGAGAAGCATCCTAAATTATTGTTTCTTTTTATTTCAAGGCTGAAAACAGTGAAGTCACTTTTCACAGTTAAAAGACTATTAAGAAGACAAGATGGGGACTCCTGGTTCTGGAAGGAAAAGGACACCTGTGAAAGACCGATTTTCTGCAGAAGATGAAGCTTTGAGTAGCATTGCCAGAGAGGTATGTCTGGAAGACCCCTCTCAACACTGAGTTGTACAGATGAGAATGCTATAAAAATTCTGGGTGGAGGGTTGGAGATATATACAGACATTCATTCATTAAGCTAGTTTCAGAATGTTTACTATAAATAAGATGTTAAATATGCCCTCTAAAATACTGTATTAGAGTAAAATACAGTTACTGTCTCTTTACTTGAATATTTACTTAATTCATTTAAAATTAATTTTTCATTTTATTTTTGTGGATTAGTTGACTTCCAGGTATTTGTCCTGATGTTTTGAAATTTATAATTAATCTTCATTATTGAAACTTAAGGTAATTAGAATGATGAAGATATGATAACTATATTACAAAAATGCTCATTGGGCTCTACAGTTAATATATTCCAGGAAGCACTGTATAAATGTTAACAGAAATAATCCTTATTTGGTGTCTGCTCAGATTCAGTGTCTTAGCTGTTTTTTGAATAATTGCAGTGGAATTTTTATGTCTAACTTTTAGCTAGTAATAGAGCTTCTGGAGCATTTTTGTTTTGGTTTGTTGACAGCTCAGAAAAAAGGAAAGGGGTGTCACCTATCGAATCTCTGGCAGCATTTCCTGTTGCATATTGAAAATTTAAGATAACTCCCAGCTGTGATTTCTTAGTGAGGAGCCAACTTTGTTTCAGCCTCTTATCTGCAGCTGCAGACCTGACCATATACTAACCTGGTACAAGAATTGCTTAGAGCATTTTAAAATTGTATTCTTTGGGTGAGAATTATTCCCTCATCACTTCCTCTTTGTTATTCTTAGTAAATAACTCATTTAGGACTAGTGCTGTTTCCTTTTGACATATTACACAGTCTTTTTTTGGATCCAGCTCACTGTTACGTTTTTCCTTTTATAAGCTACTCAGCTTTTGAATTAGAAGTCAGATTTTGTAGGAGGATATTTGAAGCAGAGGAAAGTTATCCAAAAACTGATGACAAAACTGTGATAATACTTTAACAAAATTACTTTTAAAAAATCTGAGATATTTTTAGATAAAAAGGTAAAAGATATTTTAAAATGAAGTAGTGGATGACACTTTACAATGGTCTTAAGTATTTACCCGAATGAAGTATTTTGGAAGCCACGTAGTTTTAGTTGAAAGTTGAAACTACTCAAAATGTTTGCTTCCAGAATTGGAGGGATTTATATACCCAGATTTCTATAAGGGGAGAAAATGCCAGTATGTTCTAGGTTCTTTCTGTACTGTCACTGGGTACTTGAACTCTTTTTTTGGATGTGATGCTTCATTTACAAAATTGGGTAGCATTCTAGCATCCAACACTTGAGTGCTTACTATGTGACAAATACTATTTAAACATTTTAAATGAATTAGTTTATTTACTCTCCACAAAATTCTGAAATGGGTTCTATTATATTCTCCATTTTACAGATGAAGAAATCATTGCATAGAAAAGATAAGTAACTTCCCTAAGGTCACACAGCTAAGAAATAGCTGAGCTTGGATTCAAACACATAGTCTCACTGTGCTGGGCTGTTTTCAGTCTTCTCCATCTCCTCCATTAATATTTTGTTTTTCTGTAGCTTTTCATGATTTTAAAAGCACTTTCACGTCTTGATTCTCACAATAACCTTATGAGTTAGGTAGGATAGGCATTGTTATTGGCCTTATTTACAGATGAGGAAACAGATGAAGCTGAGAGATTAATGTCTGGAAGGTATCAGAACTGGGACTCACATTCAGCTTTTAAAGCCATTGTTTATTTTTCTGTATCATACTACTTCCAGAAGAGCTGGACTTTTGGAGAGTTATAAGCGTGGCTTTGAATTCTGGCTGTACTAGTTGCTGGTTGAGTAATCATGTTAAGTAACTACTCTGGACTTCATTTTCCTCATCTGTAAAACGGGAATACTATGGGCCTCCTGTATATTATAGGGCTGCTGTGACAATTAAAGTAACTAGTGCATGTAAACTTTACCATAGTGTTAGGCTTCCAGTAGGCTATTTTGTTGCTTATTAATAAGTTGAAATAGAAAGTAAGAATAGAAGTAAAATATTCTTCTTTTACAAAAAATATATTTATTAAGATAGGTGTTCTAAAACGTGGTTGATCATCTGAATCTCCCAGGTTGCTTTTTCAATGTACAGATTCCCAGGTGTTACCCCATACTTGCTAAATCTGAATCTATGAGGTTGAGCTTATAAATCTGTATTTAAATACACACACACACACACACACACACACACACACACAATTAGGAATAAAAACTAACAGAACCCCCATAACAATTAAAAAGGACAAATAGCTTAATCTTTCCTTTTTTTTAAGTTAAATCTAAGCGTTTAATTTGTCTTTTCCTCACTTCAAATTGTTTTTTGAGGTAGACAGGGTATACCATAAATAAAGAAAAATAGCCTCTTTTTCCTCCTGCTTACCGTCTGCTAAAGTATCCATGCTTCTCAGTTGGCCCCAAATGAGGCAACTAGAGGGAATGAAGAGCAAAAGAAACAAAAGGCATGAATATGTTCTGCAAACTGGATAATTTGCATGCTAAAATGTGGAACCGAGTGCACTTTAAAAATTGTTGTAAAATACTCATAAAATTTACCACTTTAGCCATTTTTAAGTGTACAGTTCTGTGGACTTAAGTACAGTCACATTGTTGTGCAACCATCATCACCATCCATCTCCAGAATTCTTCTTATCTTGTAAAACCTGTTTGCATTTTTAAAAGATGTTGAAATGTTTGAAGATTGCTCCATGAAGGCAGGAATGTGGATGGATCTAGAACTCCCGCCGTGTCTGTAATAGGCATTTTGCTGCTTTGCTGGGTGAGCATGTGTGTCACAACTCTGTGAAGACCTCATAAGAGCAGGTGTTGGAGGAGGTCAGCAGCAGGTTCTCTAGGGTATCAGAAGGCCAATCTGGATGCTTACCTTTCTCGCTTGTTTGACTTTGATTGTCCCACAGGTTTGGGGGAAATGCAGTTGGAGAGTTGACTTTCAGTGAAAATTACCCGAAAGCACAGAGTGTATCAAATGGAGACCCTTAGGCAGCTAGCCTCGCAAAAGGAGAAAGATAGGGATGGATGAAAGCCAGTTATGCCGCCTTACCACGGTCAGTTTGGTGAGTGTTATGAAGAGTGTTCCTATGAGAAGTAGAAGCTTCTTGGAGGGTTTGCAAGCAGTCTTACTATGGCCTCACTGAAGCCTGGAATATTCCTCCTTTCCTTGTTGTAGAGCTGAAATTATGAAGAAAACATGTTTTCTGCACATCTCTTCAAATGGAAGTCATCAGAACGTTGCTTATTTTTGAACCTGATGATTTGAAAGCCCTTGCAGTTCTAAAATTCTGTGATCTCTTTTGAGATTCAGGACCCAAAGAAAATTCATACTCATAACACACAACTCTCTTGAATCTAAAGAATCAGTGACAGGCATAGAAACCGATCATCTTTTATAGGAGTTAGGGTCTAGTAAGTGGAATGTTTGGAGACTTTTACATTGAGCAGAATTTACGTGTATACATATTTGGTGTGCAAACCTACTTGTAATAATAAGGAAGAAAAAGAAACTATGGCTGTTTAACATTTGTAGCTGCTAGAACTTGGATTTCATTTTTTTAAATAACTTTATTGAGATATAATTCACATAACATATAGTTCACTCATTTGAAGCATACCATTCAATGGTTTTTACATGATTCACTTTTAATTTGTGGTTAAAATATATATAAGAAAATTTGTCATTTTAACCATTTTTAAGTCTACAATTCATTGGCATTAATTACATTAACAATGTTTTATAACCAGCACCACTGTCTATTTCAAAAAATCTTTCATCACCCCAGACAGAAATTCTGTAACCATTAAGTAGTAACTCCATTGCCCCCTCTTTTAGCCCCTGGTAACCTCTAATCTACTTTATGTCCCTATGAATTTGTCTAATTCTAGATACTTCATATAACTGGAATTATACAATATTTGTCCTTTTTGTGTCTGGCTTTTTTCACTTAGCATAATGTCTTCAAGATTCATCCGTGTTGTAGCATGTGTCAGAACTTCATTCCTCTTTTTTTTTTCCTTGTAAATAACTTAATTGCTTCTTTTATAGCTGAATGATGTACCATTGTGTGTATATATTACACTTTGTTTATCCATTTATCTATTGATGGACCCTTGGTTGGATTTTATTATTTTGCTGCTTAAAGAGGTAAATTCCAGGCATCTGGAATGATGAGTAGTGAGAACCGGAAGTTTGTGGTTTTGATTATAGATTAGCAGCCTGAGAAGGATACAAAGGGAAGAATTGTGCTTAGTTTAAAAGATACTGTCCAGAGGGCTTCCCTGGTGGCGCAGTGGTTGAGAGTCCGCCTGCTGATGCAGGGGACACGGGTTCGTGCCCTGGTCTGGGAAGATCCCACATGCCGCGGAGTGGCTGGGCCCGTGAGCCATGGCCACTGAGCCTGCGCGTCCGGAGCCTGGGCTCCGCAACGGGAGAGGCCACAACAGTGAGAGGCCCGCGTACCGTAAATAAATAAATAAATAAATAAGATACTGTCCAGTGTTATTGTTTTATGGAATAATAATCATAATAGCTTGATAGAGCTTATGATTTTCTCATAGTTATTTAGCTATTTTATTTGAGTATTCATTTTTAGGCCATGTCGAACTAAGGATAAAAAACTCTTGGCAAGGATAGCAGTTTTTTTAAATGCAAAGAATTACCATAATCAATAATAATTATGGGTAATACCATCTTCCGTTTAAGAATAAAGTAGGTTTGGGGGCTTCCCCGGTGGTCCAGTGGTAAGGAATCTGCCTTCCAATGCAGGGGACATGGGTTCGATCCCTGGTGGAGGAACTAAGATCCCACGTGCCGCGGTGCAGCTAAGCCCACACGCCTCAACTAGAGAGCCTGCATGCCACAAACTGCAGAGCCCATGCGCCTTGGAGCCTGTGTGCCACAGCTAGAGAGAGGAAACCCGAACTCCACAACTAGAGAGAAGCCC